AAGCGTAAAGAAGAGAGAAAGAAACCTGGGTCCCTGGTGATGATTAACTAACCTGGAATCTACTACTCCTGGCTGTTATGTGGGATAATAAACATCCTTATTGTTTAAGCCACTGTTAGTTGGATATTTTGTTACTTGTAAGCAAAAAACTCCACAACCAAACCAATTGCTGTCAAGTTGATTCAGACTCATAGAGACCTCATGTGTGTCAGAGTACAGCTGTTCTCCACAGGAAAATCTACTTACCAAAAAAAAAAAGGGGCTGTTTTTTTTGAGGGGAAGCAGATCACCAGGTCTTTCTTCCGAGGCACCTCTGGGTAGACTTGAATCTCCAGCCTTTTGATTAGCAGCTGAGTGCGTTAACTGTTTGTACCACCCAGGAACTTCTTGTAAGCAAAAGCATTCAGTTACTCACAGAGCAGTGGGTGAGCTGATGCTGGAAGAAGGATGTCTAAATGGAAATACCTGCAGCTAGAAATCAGAAATGAGCTGCTGCAGCTCCGTACCACTAATTGAGGCAGATTCTGTTAGAACCTTTCTCCAAAAGACAAATGAAAAGTAAAGGGCATAACCAACTTTCTCCTTTAGCTCTTAGTATTTTTTTTTTTTTTTTTAAAGTGGGAAAAGATAGAAATGTTTAACTTTGCCACCCCTGATAAATATTTATAATGTATTTGGCCTCGTTTTCCAAGCTAAATTATCATTACAAATTTCTGTGAAATTAAGTAAATAGTTTATCCGGAGGATATTTTCTTTATCTACCTCCAAAGTTCAAAAGTATCAGAATGTTATAAACATTTCATGTAAAAAATACGTATGAAATGAAAAAATAGTTGTGTGTCCTATAACAACATTACAAAATATTTTAATTCATCATTAAAACTAAAACTACTCTTGTAGGAGATGCAAATCAAAACTACAATGAGATACCACTAACTCACCCACATCAGAATGGCAAAGATCAAAACAACCAAAAACAGCAGGTGTTGGCAAGGTTGAAGAGAAACTGGAACCCTCATCCATTGCTGGTGGGAATGTAAAATGGTACAGCCACTGTGGAAAACAGTTCGGTGGTTCTTCAAAAAGTTGAACACAGAACTACCATATGACCTAGCAATTCCTATCTTAGGTGTATATCCAGAAGAAGTGAAGGCAGAAACACAAACAGAAATCTGTACACGTGTTCACTGAAGCACTTTTCACAACAGCCAAAAGGTGGAAACAACCTAAACGTCCAACAACAAATGAAAGGATGAAAAGAAATGCTGCATATACATACACAGCCAGAAAGAGAAATGAAGACCTGAGGCATGGCACAACATGGATGAACCTAGAAAACACCATGCTGAGCGAAATAAGTCAGTTTCAAAAGGACAAATACTGTATGATCTCACTTATATGAAATTCTATACAAATATATAGAAATCAAAGATTAGTGGTTAACCGGAGCAAGAGGGAGGGGAAAAGGGGGAGTTTTTGCTTAGGGGACATTGAGTGTATGATAATGGTGGTGGAATGATTTGGAAAAAGATAGCTAGAATAGGCATACAACTTGAAGAATGTAATCAGTGTCACTGAATTGTACAGAAATTGTTGAGATGGTATATGCTTTGGTACACATATTTTCAGCAAAATAAAAAAAGACTAAAACTACTCTTGTAAAAAAAGTTTTCAGAATGATAAGATTTCTTCAGCATCCCTTTCTCTTCCCCCCAAAGCAAAATTTTTACACTGAAAAATTTAAAACTAAGGATTTTAAAATGTGAAAATGTAGGTTTTCCACAGACAATGCTCAAGCCCACTGCTGTTGAGTTGATTCTGACTCACAGCAACCCTGTAGAGCTGAGAAGAACTGCCCATAGGGTTTCCAAGGCTGTAAATCGTTACAGAAGCAGACTGCCACATCTTTCTCCTGCAGAGCCGCTGGTGGGTTCAAACTGCTGACCTCTGGTTAGCAGCCGAGTGCTTTAACCACTGTACCACCAGGGATCCTGGTTTAGAGATAGTAAGCAATGAAAATTTTGAAATGATTCAATGATCTTCACATATGTAATACCCTTCAGTTTTTTCAGATGGAATTTATAACATAAATTTCATAATAAAGTTATGAATACCAATGCCAAAAGTAGTAAGTAGGTAATAAATTTCTCTTTAAAAATGAGAGAAATACCACCTACCTTAGATTTTCTTTTATGTATTGTCCACTACTCTGCTATACAAAGAATTTAAACAGAGAATGGGAGTTTAGTCTGAATGATCACAACAACAAACAACAAAGCAAATAAAAAGAACTTATTAGGCCTCCAAAAGCAACTCCACTGGAATAGCATTTTATTCTGGAATTGCTGTAAACGACAGCAGAAAATTAAGAGCTGTCTGAGATAGGAATATAGGTCCCCGGGTGGTGCAAACGGTTTGTGCTCAATTACCAAGGTCGGAAAGAGCCCTGGTGGTCCAATGGCTATGCCTCGGCTGTTAACTAAAAGGCTGGTGGTTTGAACCAGGGCTTCAAACTGGTTCAGTCACGGCCAATGAAGCAAAACCGGAAGAGACTCGAATTTTTAAAATTTGGGCGATCCGGAACCATAACCAGAATGGGAAAAATTACAGGTAAAAGTCCTGGAATGGGAGATTCAGAAGAGTCCTAGTGAGCCCTTTCAGGAGCCTGATGGGTGAGACTGGATTATTGCCAGAACTGAGGAGAGTAACACGGTATGGTCGGCCACTACCTTTAAGCCGGGCACTACTGTTTCTGACTGTGCAAATCCAACGGGCAAGAGATCTGGTTGCTATGCAACACGTATGCTGCCCTTGTTTTCTAAGAGGGAAATTAAGTTTCCAGCAGGGCTTCAACCCATAATTTTTCCCGTTCTGGCTATGGTTCTTGGTCACTCCAATTTTAAAAAATTCGGCTCTGTGCCAATGTTGTCTCCTTGGCCATGAATGAATCGGAAGAATCAGCTGGAAGCCCTGGTTTGAACCTACCTGGCGGCTCTGCAGGAGAAAAGACCTGGAGATATGCTCCCATAAAGATTACAGCCTAGGTAACTCTATGGGGCAGTTCTACTCTGTCCTATAGGGCTGCTAGGAGTCAGAACTGACTTGACAGCACACAACAACAACCAAGGTTGGCGTTTCGAACCCACCCAGAGGTGCTGTGAAAGAAAGACCTGGCCATCTGCTTCTGTAAAGATTACAGCCAAGAAAACTCTACAGAGCAGTTCTACTCGGTAACACATGGGGTTGCCATGAGTTGGAATTAACCTGGCAGCAACGGGTTACAGGCTGAGATACGAATATATGCAAAAATACAACTTGAAAGAAAAATAAAGCACAGCACAAGTTATTTTGATTCCCTCTGAATAAAATACATATCCACATGAAAGAAACTTCACCATCGCAACATATTTTCCTTCTTGAAACTGAAGTTTTAAGCCCATGTTTATAACAACAGTGTTGCTGTGGAAATAGTTGACTCAACATCATGAACTCACAGCTGAATAAAGTAAGGTGTGGAACAGCTTAAGAACAGGTCTTATTTAAACAGTGACAAGAACCATAAAACATTAAAAAGGCACACTGAATGATATTGAGTCAGAGCACCATATGTTTTAACGTAAGGGTTAGACTTTTTTTCCTCCAATGCTTGACACCAATAGGATGTTTCTTTTTAACTTTGTCCTATTTTTGGAACCCCATAATCATCTCAACCACTCCCTCAAAATGGACCAGACTTTGTTGCTATCTGCTTCTGTCTACATAATGCAGCCTGTATTCGTTAACTTGATCATGCTTAGAACTGAGTTCTTATAGTTCAGTCCTTCCCAGAACACGCAGAAGTTCATGGCACCAACCAGAGCACAAGTCAGGATTTTGAAAAACTTCTGCAGGTAATTAAGTCAACTAAATATAGCAGTTTTGACTTACTTAGCACACAACATAATGTCAGGTGTACAGTGTTCTGTGTATGCCTACAGGTTTCAAGACCCTTTATCACAATTCCAGTATAAAAGTGGTTGGAGAATGCTGTTGAGAACACAGGTCCACTGCAGCCTGGCAGCCTGGACCCTGCCCCAGCACCTCATCACACTTCTCATTTGTTCTGGCTTCTATAGGTTAGTGAAGAGTTTTCCAAGTAACCGTGAAAAATCCTCAGGACACTTTCTATTGAAATGGTGTGAACTGTTTATGATACTGTGCTCCTCCTTTGCTGTCCCTCCCTACATTTTACAGAGAGAGATGTGCTTTTCCTTACACACACACGCACTTAAACACACATTCTTTTCCTCTTTTTGGAACCTTTCAAACCAGGACAAACATTGTTAAGCCAAAACTTTTGCCCTCTGTGCAGTAAGGCACTTTTAGCAGATTTTTAAAACGATGGGTGGGGCTGTTAGACACTCAACACCCCCTCCGGAGATGGTAACAGCCGCACTGGCTCTGAACATAAGTCTGGACTCCCCCCGCAGGCCGGAGGCTTGCTGCCAGGGTGGTGCTGCCCTCTGTGTCTGCACAGGAGCCCCATTCATACCAGCAGAACCGGAAAATCACAACTGAGTGTCAAAAGAACAACATAAAGGAGTCTGCTTTACTGCTAGGTGAGTCACAGGAAATACTCCTGCCACACAGGCAGGCCTGGAGGCCCGGGGCTCATCTCTTCCAGTTAAGAATATGGGGCAAGGTTCGCCGGGCTCGGGGAACAGCCCACCCTAGGGGCAGAAGTCAGAGAGAGTGGGAGACTGGTGCTGAAAGGACCCCCCACCGCCTGCAGCCCCTCCACTTGGCCTCAGGTACCAGCCTTGGCTTTCCTCCAACTGGCCTCAGCTTTCATCAGACCACAGTGAGCTCAATCATTCCTGCAGGGAACAAACTAGAGTGCTGGACTAGCTCTCCTTCCTATGCCGAAGAACAGGCAACCTCACACATTCTTATCAGCGCCCACAGGGTGAAAAGGAACCGGGCTCAAGTTGGGTTTATATACAGTGGACAGGTCGGCTTACCCAGCTCCATCGACACGAGGGACCCGGTGGCAATCTCACCAATCTTGGCCACGCCATCGTAGTAGGCTTTTCCTGCCAGGATCATAGCTAGACAGGGAAGGATGATATACACAAAGATGTCACTTAAACAAGGACAAGGAAGAAGCGACTTGGATGTTTCTTCAAAACATACCTCAGTCCCTTCTGGCTATGAGAAGGTACATGCTGCAGACAAACCTGGCTCAGAGAAGGCAGGGCTTGCCATGTGACACCTGTGCCTAGGGCCAACGTCCCTCCGCTGCACTTCCAAAGCCCCCAGATCCCATCGCAGTGGAGATGTCCATAGTACCTCCTGCTCGGATCAGCCTTTGGCAGAGAAGGCCCTGCCTATCCTGATGCCAGCTCCAGAGTAGATACGTTCCTAACATCTAAATAGGGCTAGGCACAAGAAATCTCACAGCACTACACATCTGCCAACACCATCAGTTAAAAGGACTTGTGTAGGGTGGCCTGTGATGATATTTTAATCTTTTCTATAGAAAAAAGCATTCAGAGTCACAAACAACCTACATACTTGTCAGGGGAAAGTCTATGAATTCCAAAATTGATTCTCAATCCAAAAAATAATAAAATTGTCTGAAAAATAACTGAATGCTGTATGTTTTTTGGGTGTGGGGCAAAGACAGGAACGCTTTTATTGCTGTATCAGTTGGGGTCTAGTTATCTTAAAAATAATATTTCTCCTCTCAAGCTGATTTAGAAGACTGTAAGGTATAGAAATCTGCTTTTGATTTCTTTTCTGGGGTAAGGGACAAGGCTGACCTGGGGTTGAAGTCTACCTTTACTTCTAACTACATGACCTGGGTGAGCTACTTGACTCTTTCAGAAAAAGTCCCTCATTTATAAAACACCCTAATAATGTGAGCACTGAACAGACAAATGGCAGTTGCTAATACCAATCCTTTCTTTTACTTTAACAAGTTAGATTGAAGGTACATGACAAGCAAGTTTTTCAAGACCCAGCCTACTCTGTGAAATTTTGGTGAAAATTGTTCGTTTTATCTTATTCAAAGACTGGTTTCACACATAGAAATTAATTTTGAAGACCACAGGATTTTAGAGCTAAAAAAGTCCTTAGGAATCTCCTAATCCAGCCCCTTCATATCACAGGAGGAAAACCAGAGGCCACATCAGCTGCCTTGCCCCAACAGATAATGGGTACTGCTTTAAAACAGGTGGATTTTAAAAGGCATTAAGAGATTTTCTACCACTTATTGTTTTAAGGAATGAAATGAAACATTTTAGTTCTATTTTAAGGGTTGATCAAGTACTTCATCAATATAATCTACATATTTCTGCTAGATAAATTTTCCTTAAAAAAACTATCTCATTGCGTTACTGTTCTGCTCAAAAACCTTCAATAGTGTCCCAGTGCTGACAGCGGGAATGAACTGACGTACCGGTGCAGCTGAAGGTACCGCAGGCCAAAATAGTATTTTTATGCTAAATTCATCTATTTTAGCACTTACTGCAGTTTAAGAAATGATAAAAGTTATGGCTTTTACTATCTGTGAATACTAGTTTAGGGAATGTGATGTGATGTACACTTTTATTTTATAAGACTGGGGATAACCTTAAAGTACAATTACAGAAAGAGCAGTAGTGATCAGCATTCACGTAGACCTTTCGGGGCATTACGCAGTTTATCTATCTGGCAACCTTAAGACATGGTGGGTGAGGCTATCACCCTGTTTCACCAGAGGAGAGGAGTGGAGATACTGTGGGACATGCCCTAGGCCAGTGGTGAGTCAAAGGGAGCATACACAAGTCCGGCTGAGGCACTTCCTCAGCTCTAAATTCTGGTGCTCTTTCCATCTTTAGTCTCATCTAGAATTGAAAAAGAGATGGTGCCACCTAAAAACAAGGTCTCTATCCAATAAACTGTCAAGTTAATATCTGTAATGTTTTAGTATGAAGATTTAAATTTGTAAGGCACTGATAAACTGAAAGCAAATTAGTGGGAGAATGGTATGCAGGATTACACAATATTTAAACAAGATTTTTGGTTTGCATCTATCCATTAAATTGAAAATTTTCATTAGCTGTTGACTTACATTTAAAACCATTTAACCTTCTCAGTCTAGTAAAATATCTTTTACGATAAAGCTGAATTAAAAGTATATAATTCATTCAAAACTAATAAACGATATTTTTATAAATTTGCTCCCTCTGTGAACACATTAAGAGATTTTCTACCACTTACCGTTTTAAGAAATGAAATGAAACATTTTAGTTCTATTTTAACGGTTGATCACTACTTCATCAATCTAATCTACATACTTCTGCCAGATAAATTAAAAACTATTTCACTGAGTTACTGTTCTGCTCAAAAACCTTCAATGGCCTTACAGGGTAAGTCCACACTGTCCAGAGCTGGTGGTAGATTTTTACAGTAAAGGCCTTCGATCACACCTCCCAGACTTCCCAGCCCTATACTACATTGCTGGTCTTGGTCATGTGACTTCTTTGGCCAATGGGACATCAGCAAGCATGACTCCCACAGAGGTGTGGTAAGTACTGTGCGTTGGGGCTCACACTCTTGGAATACCCCTATCACCTGAGGGCCCAGTCTGGCCTCTAAGCTGTAAAGACCCCGTGCAGAGAGTGCGAGTCCAGTCATCAGCTTCATTCAGGCCCTAGCTACAGAAGTGAGCCCCAAGGAGTCGAAAGAACTGTGAAATAGTAAGCTGTTGTTTTAAGCCATGAAGCTTGGAGGCAGTTTGTTACGCAGTAATAGGTAACTGATGTGGTTTTAAGATACACTTATAACTCAACCCTATCCCATCTTGTTTTACTCTTCCCTAACAAGCTTCCTGCCATACCCGTGGGGACCCTGGGCCTGGCTTGGAGCCTGTCTCTTCTGCCTGAGGCGCTCATACACAGCGTCTGCCTGCTGAAGCCTGGCACCTATCAGTTAGCTCCACTCCTACAAGGCCTCTGGCCTGCTCCATTCCACACCAGCCTCCACTGCTCGAAATTCCTGTCACACTGGCCTATCTCCAGCTCTTTACAAGCCATTCACACACTGCCTTGCATTTTTTTTTTTTTAAATATTTTATTGTACTTCAGGTGAAGGCTTACAGAACAAATAGTTTCTCATGAAACAGTAGTACACATGTTGTTT